TCGTATTTGTTTGTTTTTGTTCACTTAGAATAAGAAGAGCACGGATAATTTAGAAACATCGGTTCAAATTTTTCCTACAAGAAAAGAAATAATTTTATTTAGATGAAGGTAATATGTTTCATGGAAAGAAAGGATGTAAAGTGAAACTTCCAATAATAATAAATTATGACTATAGAATTGAATTTGAGTTTTCAATAAACTGCTTTCTCTATTTTCTTGTGCATATTCAAAACAAATATAAATTTCAACAATACTGTATTAATGAATATTTGTACTATTATCTTATATTTATCAATCATAAAATGTAAATCCATTTACTGTTAAATTTTATCGCATTACACGAACAGGAATTACTACTAATTACTTTTTATTTCATAAACAGATCGTATGGAATGAATAACGAAAATATAGAGAAAACCCAGTGTAGATGGCACGGGAACAACGTCAAACCCTTTCAAAGCTGCCCGCCGTTCCGTTTCAACGACCTTGAACGGTCTCACAAGAGGTGGTCATTCCGTATTTCAAATGCTGTGGGTTTGTTGAGTGTCGATTGGGTTTCACGAATATCAGGTGTTCTCATATTTAAGTGGTCTTTTGCTGCAACAAAACCACAAAATCATTGCGAAGAATATTGATTTAGCTCTCTCTGTTTTGTAGTGCGCACATTGGATCGATTTTTGCTTCATAACTTCCCACTCTCCCTATTTCGGCGGAAATTTTGTCCGATTTGGGTAAGTTTTGCGGATAGTTTTGGCCGAGGGCGTCCTTTCCTGTTTGTCTGGAAGCAAAATTTATTGCGAGCGAATGTAATCTGAATCGTGGATAAATTGGGACATGCTGGTGTCCTTTAGGGAGGTGAATCAAATGCAAAAGGTCTTAGAGCTCATTTTTGCATAAAACTCTGATTGCGTTCTATTTTCAGCTTGTCCTCGACAATATGTAACATGTGCGCGAAAACCCATGGCTCAATGTCCTGACCAAGCCTACAGGTCTCACAAACCGATGTCATGAAATGGTAGTTCTTTTTAAAATATTTGTTTCTATTACAATGTAATAAAATGTATTGATATGAAGTTCGATAAATATAATCCACTTTATGTTTGTGAATTTACAATAAAGATCAACTAAACTTTATGACATTCAAATGCTTCAAAATAGTTATATCTTTAGAAGGTTTTTAGAAAGTATAATGTTTGTGGATAACTGCGTATTTGACAAATGGATCTTTATTAGATATAATAGGTTGCAAGCACCACAATATATGTCAAAAGAAGAGGAAATTACTACGGAAAACAACTATTAAAGAATTATAAGGACAGTAGCTTCAAAATACCAGGAGGTGTTAAGTCGCCAGAAGCTCCAGCATAAAGATTGTATATCTTCTGATATCCTGGTGACCATTCAAGGAAAGAAGAACAAAAAGGCAGTAGTTAATAACAGTCGAACAAGAACAAAGAGAGTCAAGGCTTATACCGAATACACAGAGGCAAACAAGAGAGTGAGAAAGAGAATTTGAGTCGACAAGCAGAAGTGCGTGGAAGGCCTATCAACGACAGTACTAAAGCTGGAAAATATAGTAAATCAGAACGATTAGTCAGGAACAAAGAAGTGAAACCAATCACTGAGACTGAAGAACAGAGGAACAGGTGAGTAGAATACTTTGAAAGACTCTCAAATAGACCAGCTTCATTGAACCCAACGGACATCGCAGCGGAACGCACAAACCTTCCTTTTGATGTCACTCTACAAACGATCGAAGGAATCAACACGGCCATCAAACATATCAAGAGTGGGAAAGTAGAAGAACCTGACAACATATCGGTTGAAACATTGAAACCAAACACAGAAGTAACTTCAAACATGGTCCATGTTCCATTCAGGAAGATTCGGGAGGAGGGACATGTGTCAACAAACTGAAAGGAAGGATATCTCATCAAGATATCAAATAAAAGAGATGTGAGCAAATGCGAGAACTGCAGTGGCACCACACTACAATTGTTACCAGGAAAAGTTTCCAACAGTGTTGCTCAACCGGACGAAAGATTCGGTACATACCTGCAACGACATCAACAGGTCGGATTATATAAGGACTGATCATGCACAAAACAGATTACGACACCACGGACCATTGTTAAACAATCATTTGGATGAAACTTGTCACTAAATAGCAGCTTGCTTGACCATGACAATACTTTTGACCGTATAGATAGAAGAACTTAATGGAATCTACCTTTATACTATAGAGTGCTTGAGAAAATCGTTATAATCATACGGAATTCTTACGACCAACTACTCCGCGAAGTCGTATATGAAAGAAAGTTGCAGTACAGATGCATTACAAGTGAAGACATGTGTGAGAAAAGGATGATTACTCTCTCTCTCCTTATTTTAGCGGCCAACTGGATTATGTAGACCTTGACATCTGAAGCACGAGATAAAGTGGACAGCTTGGATGAAACGAGATGATTTCGGCTTCGCAGATGACCTAGTTCTTCTGTCCTTTACACACCAACAAATATGGGTGAAGACAGCCAGTGTAGTAGAAGCCTTGTTATCAGTAGATCCCAACATACACCAGAAAAGAGCGCAATACTGAAATACAACACAGCTAGCATGAGCTAAATTACACTTGATGGAGAAATTCTGGAAGATGTGGAAACTTTCACGTACCTGAACAGCATCGTCGGTGTTTAGACAGGATGTTATGCAGATGTGAAAGCATGGATTGGAAAACCAAGGACAGCATTTTTACAAATGAAGGACATACGTGGCTCAAAACAACTGTCAATCAACATCCAAGTCAGAAACGTCAGTACGAAGAAGACAGTTCTATTATATGGAGCTGAAACCTGTAGAACTACGACAACCACCATCAAAAAGTGAAATAATTTATAAACATTTGTTTACGCAAAATACTCAGTGTTCGTAGACTGAATGCCATCAATAACATCCTACTGTGGGAGAGGACAGACTTTCAGCTGAAGAGGAATTTAAGGAAGGACGCATAAGGTGAGTAGGACGTACACTACGGAAATCACCAAGCCATATCAAGCGGCAAGTGCTAACTTGAGATACTGAATGGAAAAGGAAACGAGGAAAATCGAGGAAGCACACATCAAAAGAATCAAGATCAACCGGAAGAGATTGCTCAAGACAGAGTTGGATAAGGAATTCAGGCGGTCGACCTATACTCCTCCTTGTGGGGTAACTAGCTTAAGCAAGTGTTGATGAAATAGTACATTCATACATATTTCGAAACTGATCTGGATATTTCTCTATCCTTGTGATATGTTGATTCGTCTTGTATTTGTTGCTTGAATCTTCCCACTGAGGTTTAGGACTGCGGTTGATCAGTCCGTTACTGACATATGTACATCCTGTGAGGATTGCCTCGATATTACCATAAATCACAAGAGATGGATGGTTGATTCTGAACACGCTTTCACTGAAGTAGCAAGTTGCAATTTCTTTCGTTTGTAAATAAATTTATATTTAGTGATTGATACATGTAAGTTTATTTAGATATATAGACTGATAAACGGATAGTTGGCTAGATAGATTCTAATGGTGGACATGAAACCGATTGTGTCTGACTATTTACTGATACACAGGGATCAGAGTATCTGTATTGTTCGCGTAATTGTGTGGGTGGTATCTTATGTACTTTTATAGGTTTGGCGTTTCTAAATTGTCTACCAGTTCCTTCAACAAGGTGCTTGACAGCCCGTTATATACCACGACTATTTAATGTTAATACTGCCAAATACTCTCTCGTAATTATGCTTGGTAGAATGCTCAGCAACAAAATTAACGTTCTGTTAAAATCCCAGAACACCTGTTTACGAGTGAATCTAAAATATCTTAAAGCCCAAAACTTAAAGCTACGCAATAATTTATCGACCATTTGTTAGGCTTTTCTAACCTTCTCTTAACCTGTAATCATCCGTCTGTCATTTTTATCTAACGTGATTTACGACATAGTGTGCACTTTTTTACGTAGTGGTGCATTGCAGTGATCCAATTCGGTGGCCTGCGAAGGACTGTTCCATGTTCGATAAAGGATTGAAATGCTGTATGTTCGTGGACAGCAAATAAGTCGAGTATTAGTATTGGTCGGCAGAATGCATATTCTGTAGCATCAACTGGTGGTAGATTTGTGTGTTTAAGGATATATGGGTAACACTTACTCATCACCTCAAATAATTCTTGCGGTTGAGCATATACGATCCAAGGTGATTCACACCACTCAACCAAACGGGAGTGGCGGCCATGCACATCTTCACATTAAATTTATTATCCAATTACCAGTCTGAATATGTTACAGCTTAAATCAGGTGGCTAAGAATTATTACTAATAGGATCTTGCTAACAGTACTGCCGGCTGTTACGATGAGGCCTGTCCGTGTGGGGTAGGATTTGATCCTGACGTAAGATAATATGGGTTAGGCAGTCAAATAAAGACAAGTGCGCAATATTATATTACGTCTAGCATTCTAGTGTCATGGATAGGTGCGGGAACACACATCCTAAATCTAGCCACTAGCAGTCACACCAGCATGTGTAGCAAAATATCTTCCGAATGGCTATGCAGCAGAATATCTTTGGGGGATTTCTTAAATGGTCTGAAACAATAATTTGATGAATTTCGTCAAAGAATAAACCTAAACCTAAAGCATAAAAATAGTCCCAGTGACTTTGCGTTTTGGAGATTTTGTGAGAATACCGACAGCACTGAGCCAATATTTCTTGAAAAAAAAGTGATTGTCTATTCTTCACTAGATATATTTGGAATTTGTAGGGTTACGCCAAATAATTGTGAATTGACAGACTAGTAGTCACCAAAACAAAGCTTATGAGTTTTTGACTACATAAATCTATTTGGTTGGTAATTTTATGAATGGGGTTTTATGATATCCAGTTATTTAGCCATTGTTCTTGTGTTGTTTCTAACAAGCATTTTATTGTACTCTATATAGGGGCTCGCAAATCAAATATTATTCATTCTCAAGGTTACCTATCAAACGTTCGTTGCTTCCGGGAATCTGAAGGATGGTGACTTGAAAATCATCTTTAGCTGAATAATGTCGTAGTCTTGTTCTAAATTGTTTTGGAATACTGTATAATTTTTGTACTATGGATCGATTTGTTCGCAAAATAAATACCAGCCCTAAGTCTAAACGGAAAACACTCGTACAATCTGAAGACAACTTTGGCGTCCCATTAAAAGTCCTGCTTGATAGAGATTCTACAAAACCAGTGCCTCGAATAGTAAAAAATATTTGTGATTATTTGCTTCACTATGGGCTCAATTCACAAGGAATTTTTCGTATCAATGGAAGTGCTAAGTTAATTGACGGGTTCAAAACTACATTTCAGATATCGGCAGCCGACGATCTATATTCTTTGAGAAATGTTGATATTTATGCTTTAGCGGGTGTTTTAAAGCTATTTCTCCGCGAACTACCTGATGGACTTGTTCCAGAAAAACTTGGACTTAAATGTATAAAGGTGATATATTTTACTTAACATACCTCACAAACCTAGTACTTTTGATTTGTATCATAGTAAATTGGCTTTGTTTAATATTGCCGGTGAAGCTATCTCACTTATATGTTTAGTCCGACAAACTGTTTGCCATCTAAGTTAACTATGAGGATATCGATATATCTTATAACGTTTCAGTTTTTTTTCAGTCATTTAGTAATTTATGTTTTGACGGCCTTTCTTGGTATCACATCATGAATATTCTGGCCACATTATTTTGGAGAGCAGTAATGGAGTCTTGTATTGTTGCACTTGTTGGCCTATGGAAGTACCACACTGTACAACTTAAATATTTTTTAAAATCTCTTTTCACTTTGTAGCTGTGCCTTACAATAGAGTATTTTACTAACTGGCTGTCATGAGTGCACCCTATAGCTTTATATACAGTTTAGAAGGCGGTATAGAATGAAACTTCATTGGTTTTAAGTCTTTCATGTCATGTATGAAATATTTGACTATATACTGTGTTTATTCAAAGGATTACGGTCATCAGTATGAATAAAGACATCTTCATGTCTCTCAGGTAGGCTTGTTCGTGGTCTACGATATTGAATGTGTTAATACAATTTATCATCAATATCGATATAACGTATAGAACCATTTAGAAATTATTCATATATATTCAAACCTTACCAATAACTAAGACAAATTTCGAAAAATGCAAAAGTCATTGAGGGATTATCACTTATGTCCATTGAAAATTTTACAATTAAAAACCATCATAACAAAATGGCTTATCTCTGGCACTACTCATAGTTCTTTAATTGATGGTGGATTATAAAAAACAGATTTCGTTGAGTGAAGTACCATTACCTTAGATCTACCTTACCACCACATTTTAACTCCGATTTGTAATATTAACTTGTTACGTTGATTTCTGGCATTATTCCACGTGGTGGATTAAGAATTCACAGTATTTTTCGATCCAATTTCAGTCATCTTTACAGTCATGTCCCTAAATATTGGACGAATTTAGGTTACTTTTAGTAAAACAAAAGATTAGTCTTTCCATTAGAAATATAACCCTACTAAATTATAAGAAATAGTCCAAATCCATTGTTTTTTTATCAACCTTTATCGTTTCCAGGTTGCGAAAGAATATTCAAGTGACTTGAATGCGTACATACTTAAACTACAAACTGCATTATTTACACTGCCGCATGAAAACTATGAACTCTTAAAATATTTGTGTAAGTTTTTGAACAAGATTGCGGAAAACGAACCCGTCAATAAAATGTCGCGCAACAGTTTAGGAATTATTTTTGGTCCTTGTGTGTTTCGTTGCAGTTTGGACTTACAGGCAAGTTTTCATTTTAAATAATACTTCATCATGTGTAGAAACATAGTATTTGTATTGACGTTTATTCACATATATATAAACATGATTGACGGCTTTTCTCCGTGTACATTGTTAATATTTGTATATGCTGTAGATTTACTAGCATAATCAAACCGTAGCGTACGTACTTAATGGAGATTGGGTGAGATTAATGAACTATTGTGGATGAGCAAACTGTTGTACATTATATCGGTGAAGAAAAAAAAGTAAGAAGTAAGCAGTTGAAGAGGAAAATGCATACAAATAAAGTAGTGGATCATTTAGTATTTAACACAAAATGAACAGTGAATGCTATCGTTTCTTGGTCTTGCTTAGTGTGATCATAATACATAATTCGACTATCCTAATTGATGTTGTTTTGCAGCTTCACAATGTGACTTATCACTAGTAATCAAACAAGTTGATTTGGATAGCTGTACTATTCAAATCATTTATAGCATGTCGCTTGTCAGCTAACATGACAAAAATAGGTTGTTAGATGACCCTTATTTCATCCAAAAGTGTCTGCCATTCCAAAGAAACGTCTTGTCAAAATCTCTATAAAGTGGTTGCTAGTCACGCAACTATACAAGAAACGTTGGTGTGTGGTGTGGGATACGATATCTGATGTAAGCTGCAACTTACTCTTTTAGAGACTTGTGAATTATCGCGGTCACTCTCTGTAAACTTTATGGTACTCTGATCTGTGGATTACAGATAACTAAAATAGACCCTATTTAGTTAATTTTTTTACTAGCTCTATTACAAAATGTCTTGATTATGTCTTTAGGGATATCTCAGCTTACCGGTAACGTTGATTCGTGAAGCTCATGCCATTCATAGTAACGGCCCACGTATATTTTTTAAAGATCAGAGAATCTCATTTCATAACATAAAGTGCCTGGTAAGTGTGAACGCAAATAAATAGGTGGCAGAAAATAAAAGGGCGATACTACGAAGAAATAAAGTCATAAAAACACAGACAGCATAAACCGTTTAGTTTCAAGGTGCACTATAATTTTCGTAGGAATATATCGGACCACGATAACATGACTGTTACTGGCTGCTACTGTGATTAAGCGCCGATAACACCTCTACCCACTGAGTTGCATAATTTTCAGAACCCTATATGATTTAATAACTATAAGTCTTGCCGAATAGTTTCAACTTTATATATATATATATATATATATATATATATATATAACAATCGTTTGGAGTTATTCAAACATCATCTGGAAATTAATGTTTGATTAGTCTGAGGGAATTTCCATGTTTCTTTGAATAACAAATCTCAGTTACTGCTGTTGTAACCACCATCATAATTTTACACTTATACTGGTGATTAGTTTTAGTTATTTATAAAGTATGATGACTTGTTACTCTTTTAAAATTGTGACACCTTAAAACCTGTAATGTCTAGCTGTTTTTGTTTCATTCTATAACTATTATTCTATCGAATATAATGTAAGTTGACCTGATAATGGAATTATAATAAAGAATCAATCATTTTTGTATTAGTTCGATTCATAATATAATAGATATGAACTAATACGTTTATTGTAGATGTCGTTTTTACAAACTATTGTTTTCAATTAACTTCAAGGTTCTAAAGAATCAGGGCTTGACAAATTACATAATGACTTCGCTAATCCAATACCATGATGCTATATTTGTTCATCACCCTAAAACGGACTTTTTCGTATTGGACCATCTGTTCAAACTACCGGAAATTGTCTCTAACTCAGCTTTACCGACCCTTGAAGATCGTGTTCAGCCATCAAGTGAAATATCAACGAGTTCCAGTCAAAATAATAGTCCAAGAATTATTAACAGCCTACAGGAAGACACATTCTCAAATTTTGTGGAAGCTCTGCCCCTGGCTCCTATAAATACACCTAAACCTGAACCAGATAACCATGTGTGGATGTCACATCACTGTTCTTCTAGTGAGCCGAAGATTCCTCGAGCAAATCCTTGTCACAGTATACCAGATTCAATGTGTGGTTTTACAGTTGACAATAATCTCTCTAGTGACAGTTCTCCATTTCACAGCATTGTATCATCTCACCAATACAAAGAATTCCTTATAAGTCCATCAACTTCACCTACACCCAGCCCAATCACTTTCGAAGTTTCTAGTACCCCAACCTTTGTGAGTAGAAGCAATTCAATTTCCTATAATGAAAAAGAAAATGCTGAAGAAGTTCCAGACTCAGGTGCAGAAGTGCCTTACACAAAGTAAGCCGTTGGAAATTAAATTATGGTTCGGAATTTTTTGAGGTTTTTACCAATTTACTTGGTTTACTATGATTCCAGTAATATCTTATGTGTTTTATGATCATAATATTCATTAATCCTTGTGGTTCTTATCTTTTTACTCAGGACATCGGAACAACTGGCCTTGGATATCACAAATATTATTTCGTCCATGGCTACATCCCGTTCTTTAGAGGCATTGAGCTTCGAAACACAACTTGATGATTGTTTTACTAATTCAACTCAGATATCAAATTGTAATAAGAAGCCCAACCTTGTTGAAGAGAACCCAAGAGAAAAGTTACGTATTTCTGGCATGTTATCAAGATCGTCAAACAAAATTTCAACAGGTGATAGTTTGTTCAACAAAGTGATTCGTTTTACTCACGTCACTGATGATCCCAATAAAATTAAAAGAACTTTCAGCCATCGTAAACATACAATCAAAGAATCAAGTGTCCATCCAATCAGTACTTGGAATTCCATGCCTTCTGTGAAAAATAAAACGATAAAAACTCCGCCTAAGTTTATGGATTCTTGTGTGGCAGTTTATAGTCAAGATCTTTGTAGTCAGTCCCCACAACATAATGACGTTATATCAAATACTTTGAAATATAATGGATATCGGTTTCCGAATACTGACAATACTTACCGACCTATAAATTTGCAAAAGGATGATTTTAATGAAGCTAGAGTACAAGGTACAGCAAATTCAACACGTTCGTCTACTTTTATGCCAGTTAGCACAAATCATTTTTACATGGAAATGCCGGCTGCTAACAATGAGTTTGCCAATTCGGTTGGTAGTACTCAATCATTTCCAATTGTAGAGAATATTTTGACTCAGGCGATAAACCAATGTTCTGATATTCATGTTTTTTCCCCCTCTGTGAAGCAGGTTAGTTTATTAATGTTTAAATATGTAACTATGAATATCCCGCTCTACATAGATGAAAACAGTGTTCTGTATCTGATACTCTCATTTCAGTGTTATCTGTATTTGGATTTGGATCAAGAGTGTTTTCCAAATGTTTAACTGCTATGTAACGTTACTTAAATATTGTCCAAGTTAGTAAATTGTATCGATTGCCAAAGAAATCGCCTAAAATTAATATTTTGGGGGTTATAGTCGAACAGAATAGTGGAATTATGCAATTACATCATGTATTTTAAACGCTACTGCGAATCTAAATGGAATGTCATTTCACTCATTTTCAGGCAACCTGGAAGAAACTATCATACTTTCGTCTTCAAATATCTAAATGGAGTATTACTTCTTGACTTTTACCAAATATCTCAGTATTAGTGTTTGCTTTTATTGACTAACTAATGGTCATATAAACGTACTATATAAATTCTCTCTTTTTGTTTGTTTTAGTTTTTTGTCAGTGTTAAATCTGGTATTCTCATTTTGTACCTTCTACGTACTTTACGTTTCCTTAAGTATATTATTCAACATGATCAGTTGTTAATACATCTTGAGGTGTTTATAGTTGTCCAACAGCAGTTCATCCTATCCGTGGGCCTTCTGTTTTAATGATGCACTTTCGAAACATTCTCGTTAGCACATACAGCCACAATATGGATTTATTATCCGTTCTCTTTTTTTTCAAACTACAGTCATACTTGGGTTCCATCGTTATTTGGGTAAGGGGTAGGAACTGTTGGCCGTCAGTTTTGAACACTAATGACGGTATGAATGTTATGAAAATTGCGAATAGATAATCACAATATTCATACTAGGGAGTTGGAGGTCGTCAGAAGAGAATAGGGTTTTTATTTAATAATCAATTATTGTACAATACTCATGGCGACTATTTTTTTCATCCAAAATTAACTAACTATCCGAAATATTCTCCTAGTATTTATATACCACTAATCTATATGTTTAACTGATAAGTTAGCGCAAAATTATATTTTTCACAGTAGCTCGAATTTTCTGTTTTACCATCATATTCTTGTTTTTTTCTTTATATTCCTTCTAGGAATTAGATTGTCCCAGCCACTCCAGCAGCTTTCCTTATTCAATAAATGAAATGGATCTTACAGCTTCTGCGAAAAAAAACCCGGTCTCAAGTTTTGTTAAGCCGATATCAACTTTATTGTATCAATCAGAAATACCAGTTTGTGTATTTGATCGTTCTCATCCTAACCATAATCGTGTAGATGGTTCTAATAGTGAAATTGGAAATGAGCAAAATAAGTCTATCGAATTAGCAACTCTTCAATATGATACTACCCATCAAGCAAAGGAATACAATCATAGTACACCAACTAGTCCGATATTATCTAGTCATACCGCTTCAATTACTCTGAGATCAAAGTCAAATTCTGTTGGTGCAGTAACCGTTAAACCAATTCATTCCTTTATTCATAAACCTAAAGATCGTGGATCATACCCTCCTAATTTATTGCCCCTTTCTTCGAAAGCAAACAATGAACACTTAAACGAATCTGCTCCAAACTTCGGGAGGCTTTCTGTAAGCTGTAAAACATTTTAGTAACTTACAGAGAGAAAATTCGTAACTGTTGATTATGTATATTATCAGGATAGGGATTAAAGGAGACTGTAGTATTTAAACAATTGAATTTACGAGTCGACCTAAGCTAGACCACCAGTAGAAACCTGGAGGCTCTTAATGACCGTTCCGTCATAGTATGAAACTTCTCATCAGTACGCATCAACGATCTTCCTAGTGAGAAGTGGCCAGTAGAGTCCAATACGTGTCGCGTGTGAGACAGTTATCCACCTCAGACAAGGAGGATTGCGTAAGATCATGGATCGATTGAAGTTAGACATTAACACCGTTGGATACCGGCTCAGCGGTCTAGAGGTTAAGCATTCGCGCTCGATACCGAATGTCCTGAGTTCGGGTCCTACGCTAGGAATCGCAGATGTGCACTGTTGAGTATTCTCATACTAGGATGGAATGGCCGTCCAGTGCTTCTAAGTTTTCAATAGTGGTCTAGCTTAGATCGACTCGTGTATTCAACTGTGATTACTTATATATCTCCTAAGTCTTGAATAATACTTCCGACACCGTTGACTATTTGATCTATCTATCTATAGTACTACCAATAGTCTTTTTTATTGCCTAATGTAGCAGAGTTTATGAAGAATACAACTGTGTAACTTACAGTATTATATCCTAAATTATGGACACAAATATAGTAGTATTCTCAATTTTATGTTTTTTCTAGCAGACCATCAATTTAAGAATAATGACGAATAACCCCATTTAAAATTCCTGTCTGTATTTCTTGTAGTACAAAATTACATTAGTGTTCGATGATACGTTATTTCCTAAGATATTTTGATAATGTAATCATATTAGAGATATCACCAACCAGTAAGTAATTGTTTGTTGGTTTTTATCGTGTAAAAAATTATTCTTGTTGATAGGCATTTGATGCTAGATAATATGACCGAGAGCCTATATCTCTGAGCTAAAACTGTTCGCTTCCATTTAATTCGAAATCTTTGGTATACCATTATAAACTGAAATAATGCTTATTTTATGTACTCCTTTTCCAGTTCATTTGTGTTTCATCACTGTTGTTGGAAAGTTACAAAAATTACATTTAGGTATGAAAATATGTGGTCGCATGTATTAGGTAAATGTTTCTCATTGTGCATTAAAAATTTGTATACTTAGTTTGATCATGTGATAGCCTGTTTGTAGCAGATACTGTCCAAGACTCGTCCAAACACTCTGATTCACAAAACAGCTTTCAAGAAGTGGTAGGTGGTCAAGTTGTAATTTGTACGCATAAAAGCGAAGAGAGAGACTGTTCGCTATTTGAAGTCTTGAAATATTACATCTTATTTTCCGAACGATATGCACAACTTTTCCCAGAACATTCTCAGTTGACTAAATATACATGCAACTTTATTTTATCAAGTCTATTCACGTAATTATATCGTTTCAAATTTATGATAGATTTTTATAATCGTTTACTTATTGGATTATCCTAAGAACTATGAGAATATGAAAGATAAAAGTATAGATAAACCAAAATTTTTTAATCAATGATTTGTGACATTTCTGTCATTAATCGAAATTCTATGTTTAGACGCAGCTTTACATAAACAAGAAAACATTGCACCATATTTCACTCATCCTCATTTGTTCTTTTTAACAAAATGTAGTCTTGTTTTCTTTTTAAAACGAAAAAAACTTATTTGCATTTCTTTAGTCTCCTGAAAGGAATCAAATGATTACAAAGCAGAGGATAAAACAACAGTGTTCAATTTTTGATCAATCCCCAATATCAAATAAAAATGGGGAAAATACCAGATCTCATGGAGCTCAGTTAAATAAATCAGATCATTTTTTAAGATCAGCAAAATATTCTAGTTACATCTCTGATAGTACACAAAATTTCAAAAAGACCTTGGATACAATAGGATTAAAAAGTTTGTTAAATTTATCAAATAGAATTTACAGCGAACCGGATTTATTGTATTTCAAAAACCAGTTGTCACGAAGGACAAACCTGAAATACAGATCGTTACAGCATTTAACCACGGTAAGTTATGTTCGATCTGATATTTTTATTACTAAATTATTACAAAGTGACTGAATTTTTCCTTGATCTCATTTAGCTTACACTATTGATATTAAAGTCGGTAAATATTCAGACCTTATCTTCATTTTCGATAAAAACTCAATAACTTAACAAGAATAAATTTCATTTCCCATATAACTATAAATACGAATGTACAGCTTAAGTAAATGATCTCGTCGAAAAGAAAATTTCACTGAATTCTCTTTATTTTTATTCAAAGAACAAATTTTATCAAAGACTCATTTTAAAACACTCTAACATAAATATCTGTTTAAATAACGTATTCACTTTCCTACATAATATCAACATCACAAATCTTTTTATCGTTAATAGACTTGGTTCGCTTGGGGAATTCTGTTAGAAGTTACAGAGTTTTAACGCAAATAATGAGGAGGGTTAATGAACACCGACCCACTATTCTCTCCATGGTGAAATAATTAGGGTTATTTAACCTGTACGTATCTAATCACATAACTATCGTTTCCGTTCGAGTTAAAATTCAGGATATCTGTGGCTCATTGAAAATTATAATTTGCTTTTAGGCCTATATATATATATATATATATATATATATATATATATATATATATATATATATATATATATACTGAAGGCCAAGGACGAACCTGTATTTGGTCGTTGGGTTGTACTCAATCAATTAGCGTGAAACGTAAATCATTAATCAACAGGTGTAAAACCTCTATTTATCACTTGAACTGCAATTACTTTTCCCTGAAATGTGGCGAAAATCAACATCCAAACTTTTCGGAGTTGTAATTATAGCCGTCTGTTTCCCGCCCTGGATTTTAGTGCAAATGTAAGTTTCAATTGACCCATGAATTCAACTATACAATAACTAAAAAGCCCCACGAAACCCTTTCTGAAAAAAATGTAAAATTGCCAAATTTAAAGATTTTTTCTATTTATATTTTTTGGAACGCAACTGTCTAGTGGCTTAATTTAATTTATAATTAAAAAAGGAATAGCTAAATAAAATAATGATGAATAGAGAAGTAAAAAATCAGCGTTGATAAGGATAAATTTTCAACACATTTTATGTAAAACTACCCAGGTATACTGGTTGAAACAGTTAGCTGGCTTGAAGTCTGAAAACTTTCATCTAATTTACAATGACTGAAAAAGTTGATGTTTATATTGCAGTCATAGGCAATGACCAGAGATAATTAACTCAGTATTCGTTTGTTAAAAATCCTCGAACCTATGTTCATCATTCTTTCAGCATCGCAACTTTGGTATGTGGATGTCATATATATTCACTAATCCGCGTATCAAAACCTATCATTTCGTTTTTGTAAAGAACACCTTCTAGATTTAGTGAATAGAACTTTCATATATGAAGCTATTAATGATTATCTAAAGCAAAAAAAATAACGAAACTCATTTATCTATGGTTTTATCATGATATTTAAAGATAATACTTATTACTGTTAAGGTTTATCCGTTTTTTTAATTTATTAAATATGTCATAATATCAGTTAACTTCTGTGGTTTTATACTTCTAGTATTCATTGTTCCTATGGCTTTTTTTATACAAGATGATGCCAAACAATAAACACATGTAAATAATATAATTACTAGTATCATATATAATTCCTTATTAGCATATAAATTATCTTTCAAATGTATATACGATAAGAATGTTTATTCAGCTGTTTACAATTTGCTTGCATAGAAATATTAAATTATTTTCATGCAAAAATCTTATCTTGTTTCTTAATATTCTATTTTGTTTCCATTACTTTTGGTTTATGTATTGTAGGATGAATTATCAAGCATAAAAACATCACCCACATTCAAATTGATTAATAAAGAAAATTTAACTACTATTCCAGTTAAAATATCGAATAATTTATTATTTTCTAATAAAGAAGAACCAAATATTAGCTTAATTTCACCTTCAGTTATTTCAGTTATTAGGCGAGTAAATTCATTTTCATCAAACAGTCATACATCTTCAGGAAAATGTCATTTTTTCTTAAGAAAATATTCATCACCTTTGTTGAAAGATTTAGGAGATTTTTATGAAAATTCTGAAAATCATAATGTTGGCGATAAAGATGATAATGCTGGTGATGTATCATTAGAGCAATCAAATTCATCATTGATATCTATTGAGTCATTCTATGAACTTTTATGCGCTGCATTATCTAAACAACGTGAATATTGTAATCGTCCTGAACGACTGAGTGAAATGAACTGGGACCAAGTAAGTCATTTGATAAATAATGGAATTATATGCGCTCGTTGAATTCGGTATATTGGATGTGTTTAATATGCTTCTTCTATCATTTCAAGTGTTTTTAAATAATTATTTGACAGAAGTATTTAATTAAATAATTTTTATTCTTTATGTCACGGACTGACTTTATTCAAACAACTGATGAAAAGCAGGAAGTACTGGACAGCTGTTTCATCCTAGTACGGAACTCCCCATCAGTGAGCATCCAATATCCTACCGGGGAAGAACCTCAAGACTTTAAAGATTTATAATATAGTGGACCTTTAAACCACTGGATCAGCATCCAGCGGTTAATGTAGCTAACTTCAATAATTTAGCGATATTGTACAACAATATTCCAACCGTTTGGGGATAGGTGGATTGAATCACTTGATAGTAATATCTTTCCAAATATTATTTTGTGAAACAACTTTTCCAGAAGAATAACAACAGATCTAAATAATTTATTCTAACCATTGTTAACATAACATTTTCTAGTTCTTCAGTTGATTAATCAAATCACAAATTTTGATAAAAGCCAGAAAACAGAATGAATTACCTATCGCATTTGTTTTTGTTCAGATCAACTTGATAAACGAAACCAATTTTATAAGGTTTTACGAACTATCTTTTAATGTCGATACCGTTTACAGTTAGTGTTAAAAAGTTTTTGTTAGAACAAGATTCAAACCATAAGTCGAACTTAGACTTCCTAATTTTTAAAAATTAAGAGAATACTAAAGTTCTTCACGTTTTCCACTATTTTAGTCAGTTGAATTAATACTAATTAATATGTTTTACAACTGATTTACATTAGGCCAAATTATATACAATCAATATCACTTGAAATTTCAACCTATTCTTTATAATGACTTCATCTTCAATATATAAATACCAACCAGTCTTAATAATTATCATTTTAAACATGTTTTTTCCTCTTCTTGCTTCCTATTTCGTTTCAAACTAAACTTCGTTGATTATGGTATGTAAAACTTTTTACTAACAATATCGCCAATGTAACCTTAGGCCCATTTTTTTCAACTATTGGAAAGCCTTGTCCTGTAAATCTTACTCTTCCTGTTGGTTATCTGTGTTAACTAATATCTGATTAATATAATGATTAATCGGTTTTATTTTATTTTGGTGTAAACTTTGAGTTTATTGTTTTAGTCTGGTGTACTGTTCTTACTATTCACATAATTAGTCTGGCCAGTATTTTTTTATTTTATTAGGATTAATTTGGTTGTACTTTTAAAATATAAACGTGATTTCTAAGAGCACTTTTATTTATTTGTATTTATCATGATTGCTAGCAAAAATACTACTTTTTGTTGCCTAACATGGTATTAAAAATATGTTCACCTGTTAAAAACTGCTTTCTCTTTTGAATATTTCAGATTGAACGAGAGAAATATGATATTCAAAAAAGTCTCTTATATTTTGAAGGTCTTTATGGACGACCGAAATCTCCTAGATCGAAACGAATTATGAAACCCATATATGAGCGTTATCGTCAGGTTAAACGTCTTATTTCTTCTCGATATGGTGTCTGTAGTGAATTCCCATTTGGAATGAATTTGTCTCGTTTAAAAGTGCCCAATAACGATTCCATAGTTGATGTTAACGAACAATCTACAGATAAACAACCAAATGTAACGGTTTCAAATAATTTAGTGGAATTTCTAAACACTCCAACAATCACATCTCCGACCTTTTTACAAGATAATATTCATAATATAGGTTATGATTCTGACTCAAGTACATTTGAAAGTGTGTATAAGAATAAAGAATCTAGCTTCCCAGTTAAAGTTAAGCAAAGAAATTATAATTTACAATCAACAGAAAATCATAATCTTGTAATAATTGAAAACAATCAAAATCCAAGTTTTCCATTTAATTCCAACCATAGAAAGTCACTTATGAGACCGGATGACCACAACATTCAATTGTAAGACGTTTTATTCTTGTTTACTTGTAGATTTATATTGTATAACAATTTTCACCACATTTTTTTACTTCTTGTTGTCAATCAATAATGGTCAAATGCTGAGAACAAATGAAGAACATTAGATACTTATTTTCTCTTATGCTGTGTTTTTACTAACATATGAAAAACCAATTTAAGGTCAGTTAGGCCTTATCGTGGACGTATTCATTTTTATACACAACATTCCAATTTCGAATTAAGTTAGAGGTATACATTCTAAAGCTTTTATTATAAGTTGTATCTTTTTGGATCAGTCTGGTGTTTTTCTTAAGCGAAAATATCACGTTGAAAGATGAGTTAATAGTTCTAGTGGAACATATGGATCTCATAATTTTGTTCAACAGCTCAAAAATCATCTCCCCAACGTATGGTCCCATGGTTCTATGTTTGGTTCCCAAAAAAACTAAAGATTATCGGGGGAAATTGGAATAGTTAGTTACAACTCTTCCATTCTATAAGTCATTTGACTAATGTTATTTTGTTGTTCTTTTCGCGCTACATAATTTTACCACTCTTTAGCTGATAGAAGAGACCATATTTAAAAGCAGATTTTTTACATCCGTAATTAATTGTTTTGCTGACATATTTTAGTCTTCACTAACTTTATTCGTTGTTTAAATTCACGCTTGTATCTACCATTCATAATTATGTAACAAAAACAAATTTTTGAGGGGAATACATACTGTCTTAACATATAGTTATAGTCATAACGTTGCTTGCATTGCTGGACAATAATCTGATCTGGATTTGAACACACTGGGGGGAATTATTTACAGATTAACATTCAGAAATTGTTGGTTATCGAATTAAAGTACATTGAAAAATAAATCGGCCCAATGATTACAAATAAACTGAATTCAAAAATTCTTTTGGTCAATATTTGCTAGTTAACATTTACCACTGAATATAATGTAGCAACAGGATACAACACTTTGTCCTGATAATCAGAGATGATCTCTCCTAGTACTAATAGTAGTTTGAAAAACATTGTCAACAAGTGGTTCGCCGAGCTACAAACAGGAAATATAATAAGTTGTCTATATTCATTGTTATTATTTATTGTCGAATTTATGCATATTTAGTTTTATCAGTAAACCAATCGATAATATATCGCATAATGGTGGTGCAATTAATTACCATTATCATCGTTATTAATACAGACATATCTATCTGGGTGAATATAGATCTATTAAACAGTTAAGCTATTTGAGTTAATCTATTCTTGACACATTAGTTTAGAATAAGTTGAGTAATTTTCAGTGTTCTTTTTAATTTTTAATTTAACTAATGACATTTGATACTGAATGGCTCGAATAAACTTTATCTGTCCGTTTTCTTCATTAGTGTATCCCATGAATTTTTCACATTTGTTTCACAGAGAGAGATAGTGACCTTAGATTTAAACTGTACAATTTTTTTAATCTTATCGGGATTATATTTTATTTAGTTAAGTGCTATTTAGTTGTAAAGAGAAGAGAGTGAATGCAGATACCGACGATCGTAAAATTTGCGAACTATTCAATACAAAGGAAAGAAAATGTAACACTAAACTAAACGAAAAAAGTACATTTTCCTCTTTTGTTACTGCTAAGATGAAACACAAACCACCATATTAATTAAGTCTACCAGTACACTTACATCTTATACTCTTATTCATTTTTTTTCAATAAAAATGTCCTTGAGCACAATGAATCTGTGTTAACAGATTCTAATACAATAATATTCATCATTTAATCTAAGTACATTAAAGTGGAAAAAACAATGTATCCGAAGAAAATGAGTTTTATTTTAAATTATTATTCATTATAACAATTTTACTTAAGTTCATCAGTTCTATTGGGTTCTTATTAGTGTTGAACTTTTTAAAAAAAATATTTGGGGGCAAAATAAATATTATTTTTGTGAGAATTATAACCGTTACATTTAACTAACCAACTAGCAAATATCGAAAATTTACAGTTGACTGACCTCAGATGTATTTAGACCGATGTACTTTTTTCCTATTTTTTTTAATCTTTTTCCTATGCAGTGCGTGCGTGTGTGCTTTGGTGCTCGAATGGTATATGTTGTTTATTTCAATAAGACCTTAAAATGCATTGTGCGGAAATTTGTTGTTATAGTGTTGAGCGAATGTTCAAATTTCCAAAATCCATTAAAGTTTATATTTGTTTAGTTTATTTTGTGTGAAGTTGAACTTAGTGTTTTTCCTGCCGAATTTCCTCTTATTTTGTCTCACTCCTAAAATTGTTGTCCCTCTACTGCTTGGCTAATGACTTAGTTTACTTTTTATCCCTAATTCTACCGACACTAAACATATTTATGCAGACAGTAGTTATACATCTTTATTATCCTTATTCTAGTGGGATCAATATCTTATTGCAGAGTTTTTCTGGTACGCATGATGGACGAGGGTGTTTATTTTGTTCTTCATTCACAGTAGGAGTATCCAAATATGTCCACTAAATAAGGGAACTGTATTGCTTACTTGAGTGCTTGTTATCTCTATTAGTTATAGGACCATTAATATTATTATTGTATAGAGTTTTGTTTTAATCCTGTTTAAGTTATTGAAATATAAACACTACAATATTGGTAACGTTTCACCCGTCACTTTTGATCAAATAAAAAACATTACTATGAGATTTTAAACTTTTTTTGTCAATAAACTGTTTATAGGCTTGTAGTGTTCTTCATGGTTAATGAATGAAAGAAATGATGCTAAACTATAATAACGTTAAGGAAATACATAAAAATGTCAAATGTAACCGAATAGTATTATTTATTGTATAACTTTATACGCTATCAAACTAATTGTCATTCATTTTAACTTAGTCAAAAAAGAATTGGAAATAATCATTCATGCACGCAAATGATAAAACAAATAATAGATTACCTGTATAGGGCTGAAAAATTGTGTGTAAAACTAATTCATTTATCAGTTATGTGCTTACTTCCTAAACCTTAAACAGAAAATGGATTTACCGTTTACACAATATATAATCTAAATTGAGTATGATCTGATACTCACTGACTATTACATCTAAAGTGTCAGTGTTTTAATTACATTTTAATAAGTTTGCATCGCAAAATGTAATCAGTCTTTCAGAATTAATTAAATTTGCTCAATTCAAACCGGTCATACTGGTTTCAGTGATATGAAGGTCAAGTCACGAGGGCCTTGATAATCCACATTCACAACCTTAATATATGTATACATAAGACGATTCTTATGTCACTTAATGTAGAATGGAGCTTGGATATAAACCATCCTTCTCAATGATCTTCTGTCTTATCATCATCGCATAGCTTTTTAATATTCCCGTATGACTTTCTTAACTCTGTTTTCATTTTGTGTTTATGTTTTCTTCATTCATTTTCACTACGTCATCCGACCGAGCAATTCACTATTGTTTGTATCTGATTATATATTAAAACTACCTCTCATGTCACTTAATCATTATCATTTACTTGAATTTCGTTTCGAATCAAAAACTGAATTTTATTTGCAGTAAATTCCGAACTGTCATTTTTCTTTTTTTTTCTTGTTTACAAATAAGTCCAACTTGGAGGCGAAATTGGTCATTCCTCTCATGCAACCTTTAAAACTTTTGATATGTATAATAAAAATTTTTGGAAATCTTGACTCGCTCTGTGCGTATATTAATAAATGTCAACCATAGGATACTTTACTTCGTTCAATCTAGTTTTATGTACTATATATGTTTTTGTTTTTATCAATTTTCTATGAACAGTTGTTTTATGTATCATCTATTTACAGGTATCGTAAACAACTATGCTCCTTATCTCCTATGGAATTGTATAATGAAAAGAAAAATGTCCTATTAAAGAAGCATATTGTTCAAACTGAATTAGTCGAATATGAGAATAGTATCAAACGTGTATTAGGTATGATTTATAATTTACTATTAACTTCAATCATTTATATATTTACAAGTATTATTAAACAATATCTTATATGATGTTAATTGTTGTTCACTTAAATGATTAAAGTCGAACAAACCTTGAGTTTCAAACAACTTTTTATCAAGCATTCTAAAAGTTTTGAGATGATGATGATTATTACATTGTTTCTATGAAAACTTGTATGACTAACTTGAAATTAAATTAAAATACTTTGCTGTGTGTTGCTTTTGTTTGCTTGATCATATTCTTCAATCTGTTTTGTATAACCTCTGTCATTTTCAGACTGAAAAAGAAAATAAGGGTGAAAATTTGAACAAATGTCGATACTTGCTAATAATTATCTAACCACTAATAGCTAGCTTTCGGATGGGTATTTCTTAGTCCCAATAAAAAGCCGTGTTCCAAGGAATCATATAAGTAGGGGGAGTAAGCCAACAAATATGAAATTATGTCATCTGTTTGTATTGTCTGTTTTGTAATACCTTGGTAACAATAGTAGTAATGATAACAATGGTAATAATAATAGTAACATCTTGGCAATTTGAACTTTCAGCTATCACTTATGGGTTCATATTTTCAATCCGCTTATTTATTTCTATTTAGCTAGGGTGTCTAGGTACTATCCAAATAGCTAATTTCACTGCAGAATATATTGTTAAGTTTCTCAGATTTTTTTGATTAATTTCCTAGATTTATTTTGGATATTACTAAATAAACGCAGTGGTACCTAAAATAATAAACTTTTATCATTATTAGAAGCGTAATTTATAATATCTAATGGGAAAAACAGTAAAGGTATTACGTAAATCGGCGATCATTTAAACTACTACTAAAGGTCTAAAACTCAGTTCATTAATGTTGAGGTAGTAAAATTCTCAGTTAAACCATTGAGTTGACACAAACATTGAGTATCAGCTTTCCAATGCAATTGTTAGCCTTCGTCTGGCTTCTTGATTTGCATTGCCTATATCATTTTTTGTGATATTAATATTCCTGTTTTAAAATGAAAATTAGAGAGTTGTAGGATTTTTCATGTAAGCAGTATTTATCACTTGATGTATCTACTATCAGTTTGTTTTCTATGGATGTCCTACAGAAGTACGCGTATATCCTTAGTGTATTATTAGTATTATTCGTTAATTGTTCAGATCTATAAAATATATAATTTCTCATTAAATTTTGTTTTGTATCTAACAATCTAATGAATGATGGTCTATAATAAGTAATTAATTAATTAATATTTGTACAGGAAATGAAAAATGTGTGTTTATAAAGGTGAGCATAGATGGATACAAATTACATGTGGATAAATACACAATATTATAAGGGAAAGTAATTAAAAGAAACGAAGAAAGATAGGAAAGAAAAAAGTGATTTATTATGCATAAAGAATTATATTTGTCACGATACTACCTACCGATAGTGAAAATAGTCACATCAATAATAATAAACGTAATGCTTAAAGTCAATTGAGCGAAAATGTTCTATTCTTTTTAGTTTGATATCTTATCCAAACTCTCTTCTATTATTATTATTATTATTATTATTATTATTATTATTATTATTATTATTATTAGCGTGACATATTGTTTATAAAACAGGATGGTTTCTAATTGTTATTGCTGACTGATGATAACATTTTGCATGTTTATTTGTATACGAAGGTAAACTTAAAATTATCATGTATTTTTGTAGCTTTGAACAAATAGTTGACAGGCAATAAAATGAGATATGCTTTGAGAGTATAATTCTATCAAGACAGTAGCACCAATGTATATTTAGTTAGTGAGTATTTAGTTTGTTCATAGTAATACCTGAATAATGTTTAGTGATTCAGATAAGTTGGTCTATACCCATGTTTTTTCTAGATTCTCCTTTCTATATTCTTGTCTATCTGTTTTCCTTGGAGATGTTTTTCTTTCGTATTTCAATATTTTTATTGTCTTCCCCTTTGATTTATTTCTTATTAACTCTTCATTATTAATTTTGTATTTAATAAATAACCAAAAGTTTCAAACTAATTTACTACTGTTACTAATATTCCATATTTCATGATGTTTTAATTGATAAAATAATGATAATTATTACTGTTTTGTAAACGAGTTTACTCTTTTGTTTTGTTGGCAAAATCCATGGATGTTCATTTTCCCTACTTATTTATGTACATTCAATTCTTATTTCATTATAATTCTATTTCTACTCTTATTATACCCCCCCCCTCGTAACATCGTATTATTGCAAAAGCAGAAGTTGTAGTGTAAATACCTACTTTAAACATTGCTAACGTTGATTGGATTACTTGTTCAGTATACAGTAAACCGGAGAACCATGTACCTATTTATATTCGATAAATTTGATGTTTTATTATATTTTCTTGAAAAAGCTTGGACCAGATTGCCAGGTGGAACGTTGGATTTACTTCAAAATTCATTCGCTGAGATTTTACAAATACATTTTTCCTCTTTAGTGGCAGAGGTTGTGTATTTTCATTCACTAGTAAGAATATCAATCATTTTAAACATACTAAATTATACATAGAAATATCATCTTTTATTATCATTTGAAACAGTAAAACTTCCAACATTTTTAAAACAAATTACCTAAATCTGTCAATTAAAGTAATTATAATTAGTTAACAGCTAATTCATTAAAAAACATTATTATGATTATTATTTGTGTATACTTTTGAACAGTTGATCAGTTACATGTTTATGCAATCTCATCACATGGTTAGTTACACTAATTGTTTGTTATTCTTTTTTTTATACAATAATTTCGATACAAGAAACAGAACTATCAATCAATGTATAACATTTTACGGTACATTAATAATATTTTTATTTACTATACAATAATATGCATATGTGTATCTAACATTTTACTTATATACAGAAAAGGTATTTTATGAAAAACAAACGAATAAACAATTAAAATTGTATTGTTTCTAGGACACACTTTGTAGTAATTTGTTGTCCAATAAATTCATATGTTACTCAGCACACCTCTTTCTCTCTCTCTATTGATAAATGTAATCATTGTTTTCAGATGTTTATATTCATTTAAAGCTATTTATAAAAATACAAAGGTGAAACAGGATAAAATGATTTTATCATTTGTGAAATGACCATTTTTTTCCTCTTCTTTATTTGAAATATCTTTTTCTCTTATTATATAAGTTGCATAAATTGCTACTTATATAAATTCTAAATGAATAGAAACCACATTAAACTATAATTAATTTAAAACAATATGAGTTACATTAATTTTGTTTTGTGTTTATATACAAAAGGTGTTTATAGAGAGTGTATTGAAAGTGTCTATATACTCTCACTGAAATATTATCATGATTATTTTTCAAGTAAGATATCATGTACATTTTAATGCATAACATACTTTTTAGTCTGGTTGTTGTGTTGGTATAACATGGATATGATTTCTTTTTTTTTCAAGAATGTTCACTTGTTCGGACTGATCTCATACATTTATTTATTTATTTATTTTAACACATAGATATTGGTACAAGGAGGCACCAAATACATATGCGCCACACAGATCTCATTCGATATGTGTGAGGGCTGTGATACTGCCCGGGTGCCTAAACCGAAGCAGGTGGTTTTCTTAGGGGGCCACTCCCCGAGCCTTCGACCTGAAGGTCTGATCCACAAGGCAGTGGAGCATCGTCAGGAGATGCAGTCCCATGGAAGCCGGTGACCAACAATTGGTTCACACGCCATTTGTTCCCGCAGGATACTGGAGCCCATGTGCACCATTGATTTGGTTTGGAATCCGGTTAGAGCGCCGGACATTCGCTTTTCTTCCTCTCATTTGCGTAAACAACACCCTCGCCACGAGAAGGCAACGAATAGAACTTCCCTGGTAGACGCTATATACGCGTGGCCATGTGAGAGCATTTCGAGAGGGAGAGCTGACTCTCTCCACTCTCGGCCGTACCAGGGCACTTGGGGGCAATCTCATACAATTTTATTCTGTTTATCCCTATCAAATGTTAGTGTATTGAATAGAATATTAACTTACTCATTTGTATAGAATTCTGTTCTATACAAACTTGTGAATTATAATAGTTGTATTGAGACAATCCATATAGGATGCACATATACCATCTAAAACTGATCAAAATTCAGTCAACCTATCAACAATGCGATAGCTCAAACGATTACAACATAAACTACTATTTACTCAGTCATAAATCTAAAAGAAATAAGTCGGATTATGTAAATAGTGATGTTCAAACTTGAGGATTATCACTATACGTATAGAAAGTAACCTAGTCTATACAAGATTTTATAGTTGGGTAAAAGAAAGGATGTAGAATTTGCATTAATCCAGTTATCTAATTATTTTTCTCTGAATATGTATCAATGGATGTCTCATATGATTAATTTTCTCTAAAAAGCATGAAGCTGAACCATTTCAACTATTCATAATCACAATTATTGATTATGCCATGTAAGTTAGGATCAAGAGATACTTCAGGCCAATTAGTTCTTCGTAATAGTTCTACAATAACATACATGTGTACATCACAGTTAAGCATAAAATCATTACCGAATAAGTTGTGGTTAATCGATTAAAAATATCTTCTCTAAAAATGTGTAATATCTTTTCAAATGAAAATGAATATGAGTAACTGAATTGAATTGATACCGTAGAATGAATTCATATTTTTATACTTGCTCTGTGTCAAATCAAATCTAAAAGTTGACAAATCCTTTTTGTTTATGCCACAATAAATTATCGACCTCATTTGGTATGATGTCCTAATTTTACTGTGAAATTTTAAAGAATGACTAATCAATTGAATGTATTTATGTTAATTTATTTCATTTACATCTAAAAACAAAAAAACTCATTTCTATTTCAATACATCTCTTTTTGTTTCTCTCTCTATTTCTTTTTGTGTATCTTTCTAGGTCGTAAACCTACAAAAACTGAACGTAAACCAATGCGGGATAAATATGAATTATATGATTTAATTAAACGTCAATTGAAAGTTGTTGACTCTTGTCTAATAAATCTATCCTCATCTGATTTGATTAATATAAGAGATGATATAAATACAAACTAACCGAAACAAAATATCATTGCAAATGATGAGAAAGTTTCTTTATTTTTCACAGTGTACGTGTACACGGTTTAATTCATTCTATTTTCTTGAGTAAATTGCTATAATGAAATAGTACAATTGCATTTTGTTCTTAAAACTAATTTCTATCTAAATTAGTTAATTTCAGGGGGAGGAAAAGAAATCTATATGTTATTTACGCTTACTTATAAATTTTATTATATTTCAATAAAACAGTCTCATCTTGTGATAAATAAGCATTATGTTGATCACTTTTACAAATTTTGCTTTATTTCGACATAGATTTATCATATATTTGTTTGTATCGCTTGAGAACATCTACTCATACACACTCATGCCTCTAGTACTCTATGTTTTCATTGTTATTGTCTTTCATTTGTATAATATACATGTTATTAATATTCTAATCACCTTTATTATCACATCGCTTTCGCTAAATAGCTCTTGCAGAGAGAGTATGTGTGTAGTTTTCCACATCATAACGTTACTTTTTCGTTCCTATGTGATTTGTCTCAATGCTACTTGTTTACATATCCCTCTCTCCCTTTATTAATACTAAATATGTATTCTAGTAAAAGCCATAGTGTACATCTTGCTTGCTTATTTCTCTATCTGTCTGATAGGTCCATTCTATCTATTATTGACTGTGTATAGTAATTACCTATTCATTGGTTTGCAACATATTGAATTTCTTCTCTATGTTTTCTGTTTAGCTGTATATCATTCTTATGATTTTTTTTTGGGGGGGGGGAGGAATAATTACTTGCCTTTATTAGGAAGACTATGGGGTTTCTGTTTTTTCTCCATTTCAAATTTTTCTGTGAATTGGTCAACAGCTGTTGATTCTCTTTAAATTCTGATGCATTTTTGTTTCAAGGTTATTATTTGAAACATACCAAATGTCATTTTTACATGTGTATACGTGTGTGTCGAAGTTTTATTCCTTCCGTTATATTTTTAGATTCCTGTATATCTGACAGTAAACATGTATCCCATTTCATTGTATTAAATAGTACATTTATAAAGTTGATAGACAAATTTCTATCTTGCTCGTTGCTACTTGACTTCCTCTTTTTTCTTGTTTCAATATGATAAATAAGCTTCTTTTTTTCTCTCTTCTGCAAAATAACAAACATTTTACAGTTTGTTTTCTTAAATAAATCTACTACAAGAATTCCATATATTGTAAACACGTTCGTTTTATCTGTGTGTGTTTATGTGTTTAGCAAATAAAATATCGTCTTATGATTTTTTTCAAACTTAATGTGTACCAGAGAAAAAAGACGAGTGAATGATCCCGTGTCATCGGTTTTTCTTATTGTCTATGTAAACAAGAGTATTTTTGCATAAAAAGTAATTTTATTTATTTGTTATTGTTGCTATTTAAATTATTCTACATTCATCTTCTTTGATACATTGCATCCTTGTTAGTAAAAAAATGTCAAATTGTAAACAGCATTCTTCTGTACATATTTGTAATTCATTCTACACATTTATCCGGATCATGTTTTTCAAGTAATATCCCTACCATTTGTAGTAATTCCTTTTTTGCCGCCTCTTCAGCATTTTTAAAGATTACTTGTGGTTTACAGATATATATATATATATATATATATATATATATATATATATATATATATATATATTGGTCGACAATTTTAAGTTATTTTCGTTCTCGCCTATTTTCAAAGCGAATATTTTGTTTTCATTTTTTATAAGGTCTATGTATCTACATTTCATTTGTCATAGAATGTAATCTATCGTCTTAATTGTTTTGTTTACGATCGTGGGATTAATCATTCCTGTAACGAATGCTATCAAGTTTTGTCTACAGTTTGGATTGTTAAATGTGTTTGTTTCACCGTCAGTATAGTTAGATTAAGTAAAGTCATGTATGGCTATTAAGATAATAAGACCTTGTTGACACTACTCATGTCCTTATGACATTTTGTGATCGCTACAAAACTAGTCAATAACTGGTGTTTAAGATAGACGAAGAGTGGTAAATAAGGTCTGTAAATAATAATGAAATAGTTTACAAAGTTATCTAACTCAATATCAGTCGTAATGGTTGATGCTCCTTCGTTATTTCTATATGTGTGTTAGCGGACACAGACTGGATTAAAGCATGTTCAATGCACGATTGCTTTAGTGCACGCTGATTGCCTAATTCTTACCCAATCAGTGTTAGTCAATGCTTAGTGAACACTAGAAATCTCATATAAAAAACTATAAATATACTAGCGTTTTCCCTATTGTACTACTTACTTGCTTCTTACTTCCATCTAGCCTTGTTATTTGGAATATAATCTCTTTCCTGTTCAACGGTGTTCTGATTTGGGGACTTGTCGAGCGAATCGGTGTCCGAGAATACTAAGCAATAGGAATAGCTGGGTCATAACCGTAAGAAAGAGATTATAAAATTGTGATTAACAAGAAAAACTATATTTGGTACCTTGTTTTCTTTCTTTCTCTATACATTTAAAAAATGCGTTAACTTTCATGGAGTAAGCAACCACGACGTATTGGTTATCTGCACACTCGCAAAAGAATTTCTATCCTCACTCTTTTTATACTGGTTATATAATACTTATTTACGCTTGTTATCTTCAATCGAGCATAGGACGCCGACCAGCATTCTCCAACCCACCCTGTCCTGGGCCTACTTTTCTAGTTCCATCCAATTCTTGTTCATTTTTCCCACGTCTGTCTCCATTTCTCGACGTAATGTGTTCTTTGGTCTTCCTCTTTTCCTTTGACCTTCAGGATTCCATGTGAGGGCTTGTCTTGTGACGCAGTTCAGTGCTTTCCTCAATCTGTGTCCTATCCACTTCCAGCGCTTCTTCCTAATTTCTTCCTCCACTGAGATCTGGTTTGTTCTCTCCCATAGTAGGTTGTTGCTGATAGTGTTTGGCCAACGAATCCCAAATATTTTGCGTAGACAGCTGTCAATAAACACTTGTATCTTCTGGATGATGACTTTCGTAGTTCTCCAGGTTTCCGCCCCATACAGTAGAACTGTCTTGACATTTGTATTGAAAATCCTGACCTTGGTGTTGGTTGACAGTTGCTTTGAGTTCCAGATGTTCCTCAGTTGTAAATATGCTGCTCTTGCTTTTCCGATTCGCACCTTCACATCTGCATCAGACCCACCGTGTTCATCAATGATGCTGCCTAAATATGTAGAGGTTTTTACATCTTCCAAATCTCTGTCAAGTGTGATGTGGTTGGTGCATGTTGTGTTGTATCAGAGAATCTTGCTTTTCCCTTTGTGTATGTTGAGACCTATTGCTGCTGAGGCTGCTGCTACACTGGTTGTCTTCTCTCGCATTTGTTGTTGTGTGTGCGATAGAAGAGCCAGATTGTTTGCGAAGTCTAGATCGTCCATCTGCATCCTAGATGTCCACTGTATACCGTGTTTCCCTTCAGATGTTGACGTCTTCATGATCCAGTCGATCACCAGGAGAAAGAGAAAGGGTGATAGTAAGCAACCTTGCCTAACACCGGTCTTCACTTCGAACGACTTTGTCAGCTGTCCTCCATGCACGATTTTGCAGTGTTATCCATCATAGGAATTCCCTCTCTGTTGGGTTCCCTAAGCAGATACTACATTTATTGTTATTTACTTACCACATTCCGTCTAATAGAGCATTTGCCAGGATTCAATATCTGTCTGTTGACACTCAGATATGGTATAAGACCAAGATACAAGGATTATTATCAAATCTCAATCTTTGAAAGATGTCCGGCTTACGTAAAATCAATGAGAAGTTGGTATTTATTTATATATTTTGTTTACAGAGTCCGTTTTTCCTCTACTTACGGGTATTTTAAGCCAAAAGGTAAACATTGGTTTAGTGATAACCGATGTAAACCCAGATGTGAAAACTGACAAAACGTACCACTACTATTGGATTCTAGGGAAGATTGGTTACAATTCTCTATAAAATGCGTTCTGCGTTTTTGAAAATGGATTCTCACATTTTTGATGCAGAAGTGTCCTTAACACCATTCAGTGCTTTATTTGAATATGGATGCCTGAAGTATTTTTCCAAATATGGATGAACCAGACGTTTGGAAAAACTTAAGTCCAGTTCCCATTTAAATAGTCCTACTGAGACATTTACCGCGCTTTTAAATTTCTAAGAGCGTACTGACGAAGGTTCGTAGATTTCTGAAATGTTATCTAAAAGAGTGGGTGCTTGAAGAGTACTTTTACGTGGTTTCAAACATGTTGATGGAGATAATCATTCTGAATATAAATCCGTTAATAATTCACATGTTGATCACTAGTAGTGATGGATTGTCAATGGTAGTGTGTCACGTTAGATAATAACCGAAAACTATCTTGACTTCTCAATGGCAATGTAGTTTACCTCCCTATATATTAATTCATTTATCGATATATTAGACTACCATTCAAAAAAACATCGATCAGTTCATGATCCCAGTTAAAACTCAGCAATCTCTCTAACCCTGTACTGATAATTATCAATATAGTAAATTACACTTTACTGACAGTAAAATAAATTTATGAGACATAAGTGTAACAGCAAGGTTACGATAAAAACGAGATTAAAAAAGGTCATACAGCGACAAAGATGACCTAAAAATGTATAGAAAGGGTCAAATTAAGACAGAGAAAAATTATCAAATACCGGTGGATGGCTTATCGAACGGATTATCAGAAATACACATAGACGATAAAGTGTTCTGTCAGTAGATATATGAATTATTGGAATTCAACTCAGTGATATAAATGTCAAGAAATCCAATAACATTTACTTCGGGCTTTAGTTGATTTAATGATAGGCAGGGCTGAAGAATCATAAACTAGGATGAAACAGATATCTGATGTTCAGTGATGACTTCAATACTGTTAAAGAAACTTTTTTAAAGCCCAGTCTATGCTTGAAAGAATAGTGGGAAAAATCAAAAAATAATTGGTTTTGATCTCTCCGAAGATTAGATTCTCATTTAAATTCTGTCATTATCCTTGAATATTATTGAAGCTTAAGTGAAGGAAACTGGTGAATAAAACGTTTCTTCACAAAAAGCTTTCCTTAATTATGTACTTTTTATCAGCACAAATAAGTATGAAAATCAACATTGCTTGAATATATTAATATATCCCAATGAGTAAATTTCACCAATGGTTCACAAATAGACAATATAGTGACCTTATCATCACACCTGAGAATCATAATCGCATAACTTTTTATGGGAAATATGTGCAAAATCTAATGTACCCAGCCTATTCAAGTGGACATAAATGGGTTGTTATTCTTCAAATACTGAAGAATTGCTTATCATCTTTGAATCATATATTCATAGATGAAGTTTCCTATTTTACTGAACTTTGTTTATTCAAGCTTCGTTGAATTCTCAAACTTGATTCAAATAATATATTTTTTGAAGAAAAAAAACCTTCATTTCGTTTGATTAAATTAAATACTTAACTAAATTATAATTCAAATGACAGGATAATTGATACATCATTTAATAATAAACCTGCAGTATTTAAACATTCCAAAATGGTTTACCCTATCAACTCAAATGATGAGAAAAAAAACAACAACAAAAAAAGATAACCCACGCATATTGAATTCGTTAACTTGAGTAGAGAAATCTGATTTTTTTATTTCAAATTGAAATTGAAATCGTCAAAAAATTTTTTGAAAGAAAAAACTGACATAATTATTGATCAGAAATAATTTCTCTCTTTATATATATTTGATTATTAGAAAAATAGAATATTATGCTTAAATGTCCGAAAAACTATATACTTTAGAAAAGAAAAATTCTATTAACTTATCCAAGAAATCATATTTTTTTAAAAATTGTCTTCAAAGAAGCGAATCTATAACTTTTATTCATTATAATTTGTCATTCCTTTTTCTGTCTCTATCTCTCTCTCTCCCTCCCTCTCTCTTTCGTTCTTTCTCTTTCCTTTTTATTCTCTTGTTGTAACTATACGATAATTTTGTTGTGAAGTATCACGAAATTAATTATTGATTTTCTCTCCAACGAAATTATTTAAAAATTCATAAAAAAAATTTAAATTATTATTTTTTTTCGTTGTTGAAAATTTAACGAAAAAATAAAGTTTTATTGACTATCTTATTGTATGTATGTTGTCAACATAAAGATGTTTCGTTTTTACTAAGTTCTAGTGTTAATTATGGACAGATTTATTTTCTAGTTCAATAATTTATTTTCATGTTAAATAAAAAAAAGTTATTTATGGAATTCTATTGAATTTAATCTTGTGCTTCTACAATCCGATTTTTATATACAACAAAAATCATAGGAATATATATCAATAAACTTAATCTATGTATACAAGAAAAATTTTATGGAATCTCTTAATTTATCTTGGTCTTTTAGTTAGTTTTAATATTGAAAAAGTGGGAGTGAACAAACCAGATCCCAGAGGAGGAAGAAGCGATGGAAGTGAACAGGATACACATTGAAGAAAGCACCCAACTGTGTCACAAGGCAAGCCCTCACATGGAATCCTCAAGGCCAAAGGAAAAGAGGAAGACCAAAGAACACATTACGTCGAGAAATGGAGACAGACGTGGGAAAAATGAACAAGAATTGGATGGAACTAGAAAGGTAGGCCCAGGACAGAGTGGGTTGGAGAATGCTGGTCGGCGGCCTATGCTCCATTGGGAGTAACAGGCGTAAGTAAGTAAGTAAGTTTTACTCAGTTATTAATATGTTTCTGAAACATTTTTCTCCGATTTTCCAAACTATAAATTTTGTTATATTTTAATTTCTAATTTTAATATTGATTAACATGTTTAACAATCTGATTATCTTGTTTTACTATTACCTATTAATAATCTCTCATGTAACTAGTTGTAATAACTAATCCATAGGAAATCTAACATTGGTTTTAATGTTAAGTTTTTAATCGTTGTATTACTAACTGATCATTATATTATTGAAATCGACTCACCACTATTAATTTAGTAATTTTTTTAGATTTAATTGTAAAACTATGGTGTTTGAATGAACTAATGATGCCTTTGTACTTTTTGAATTCTTGATTTCAAATTCTAAATACAGTACATTCGTTAGTGCTTATCTAGTACTTCTTGATCCGATTACGTTATTTCTGGGATCCTTAGTTCATATTATAATTCAAATACTTCTGATTATCACAAAAACCTGTGTATGAGTGTGAAACGTTGACTAGAAACCAAGTTAATAGAAATAATTCTTCGTTCAACTTGTATTTTTAATGTGGGAATATGTAATAAATCTGAGAAATTACAAGCCACTTGTGTGGGTAGTATGTTGACGTGCAAACTT